AATTCTACTCATAAAATCCCTGTGGCTCAGAATGATGGTGTGTCGCTCCTTGGAAACCCTTTACAGGGTCCCTAGGAGTCAAAACTGACTCAACAGCACTAACAACAGGGTTTCCAAAGACTGTGAATCTTTACAGGAGCAGAAAGCCTCATCTTTCTCCCTCATAGCAGCTGGTGGGTTTGAACTGCCAGCACTACAGTTGGCAGTTCAGTGCTTATCTTACAGTGCAACCAGGGCTCCTTTTATAGCCTTTAGTAGGAAGAACTGTTAACCTACCAGCTGCTCCTTGGAAATCCTATACAGAATCGCTGTCAGAACAGACTCAAAGACATTAACAACAGTAGGAAGAAGATACGTTATATTTAGTAACTTGCAAGTAAAAAATGGAGAGTAATCAGCTCAGGAATGCTTATATACATGTAAGAACTCGGACTTTATAATGAAGGACTTCTAGTGTGGCACTGTAGGAGCAGCACTGAACTATTAACCTCAAGGTTAGCAGTTCAAACCCACCAGCTGCTCCTCAGAAACCCTATATAGGGTCACTATGAGTCAACGGCACTTAACAATAGCAAAAACCATTTCAGACTCAACTGTTAAAAAGATCACTTAAACTTCAGTGGAAAGAACTGGAGGAGTCCTTCTCCAGGGACTGATCCTGACATGTCCGTGCATTCCATTTAGAAGGTAGAGGGGAACTCTGATGATAAAATGGGTTAAGAAATAAACTAATAACCAAAAGGCAGCGGTTCAAACCCCCCAGCTGCTACACAGTAGAGAGATGATGAAGTCTGCTCCCATAAAATTTTACAAAAACCACAGAAAACAGTTGTATTTTTTTTATTCCAAAGGATAAGTTGGATTTGACTTGATGGGCTGAGAAGTTTGGCTATTGCTGTTGTTGCAAAGTACCGTCAAGTCACTTCTGACCCATAACGACACTGCACAGGGTTTCCAAGGAGCGACTGGTAAGTTTGAACCGCTGATCTTCCGATTCAAATCAACCTTGAGGTCCAGGGCTTATCTTACAGCACCACACCAGGTTACAGATAGAATAAAAGGATTAAATGTAAACGGTGAGTGAGAGAAACAAAAAAGCTAGATCTAAGACTGAGATAGCCAGACAAGAGAAAAAAATAGGGCTTGATGAATGAGTGAGAAATTAACAGACATGGATGGTCAGAAAACATAAAGATTTTAGTTTGAGACTTGTAAATCTGAAGTACCTTCATACACACCCCTTCAGGCAACAGAATATAAAGGTTTAGCAAGCAAAGAACTCTAAATTCCATCAACATATGTATAGGGAGGTCAGGAAACATGTATGTATTAAGTCTGTGGCATTGGGGACACAAGAAAGAACAAACTATATAGAGCAGACACTTTAGTAAATATAGTTATGGAAGTGAAGTTACAAAAACCATATAATTACAGTGCATTAGAGATATTTAACATAATAATACCATTAAGGAGAGTTTTTGTACAGAAGAAAAATCATTACTCCTGGTTTTTGTTTGTCTGTTTTGAGGGATGAGGATCTGAGGTTTTCCTACACTGGATTTGTCTAAAGTAAGATCTGTACACACACACAAAAAAAAAAAAATCCAAAATTTTTTGTTAAGTACAGCCGACTCGGTTCCAATTCATAGTGACCGTGTATAGGGTTTCCAAAGAGCAGCTGGTGGGTTTGAACCACCAACCTTGCGGTTATCTCATAAGGCAAAGAAAACAATCTGCAACCCTAAGAATGAGTAAAAAAAATAAAAAAATTAACCAACACCTAATTGCTTTAGAAACAATTTAAGTGATCACTGAGCATTATACAAAGTTACTAAACTAATTTACTAAACTAATTTGTCATCCTCACTATGTAAGACCTGTTTTCAAAACACTAATCTTAAATATTACTGCTGAAAATAAAGTCCTATTCTTCACTGCTACTGTTGTTAAGTGCTGTAGCATTGGCTCTGGTTCAAATCAACGCTGTATAGGTTTTCCAAGGAACATCTGGTGAGCTTGATCCACCGATCTTGTGGTTCAGACTTTGCAGTCCAGTGCATTACCCCACAGCGCCACACTTATGTCTGATTTCCCTTGTAACTTACATTAATTTTAGACTGATGTGGTACTAAAGATAAGCACTGGACTGTAATGTCAGTGTGAATCGCAAAGTCAATGGTTCAAACTCACCAGCCGCTCCTCAGAAACCCTACACAGGGTCATTATGAGTCCAAACCGACTCAATGGCACTTAACAACAATATAACATTCTACTGACAGATATTAATGAATTTGCATACTGATTTGCATTTTGTAGAACATTTATCCCGAAAAGTTAATTTTCATATCTATTAATTATTCCAGACTTCATACTTCAGTTTAAAATACTAAGCTGTTAATAACTTATGTTAGAAAGATGCTAAAAGGGTACAAAGCCTGTTCTGTAACATATCTAAAGAAAAAAAAAATTCTGGGTTAGGATTGCAACTAACCATTCCAGATTACAAAACCTAATCCTGGTGTGGCACCAAAAGATAAGCACTGGGCATCAAAGTTGGTTTGAACCACAAAGTCAGCAGTTCAAACTTCCCAGCTGCTCCTCAGAAACCCTATACAGGGTCACTATGAATCGGAGCCAACTGAAAGTGCTGTTGAGTCAATTCCAACCCATAGTGACCCTGTAAAGGGTTTCCAAGGAGCAGCTGGTGAGCTTGAACCACCAACTTGCAATTCAAACAACTTTGCATTAACCCACAGTGCCACACCAAGACACCCTCTATTAAATTACCAATTTCTATGATGCTGTGGCTCCTAGTGCACTGTAGGATCAGTACTGGATTGAGAGCCATAAGGTCCGCAGTTCAAATCCACCAGTTGCTCCTTAGAAACTCTATACAGGGTCACCATGAGTCGGAACCGACTAGAAGGCACTTAACAATGATGCTGTAGGATAAGCACTGGTCTGCTAACCACAAGGTCAGCAATTCAAACCCACAAACCTCTCCTTGTTGTTGTTAAGTACCGTCGAGTCGGTTCCGACCCATAGCGACCCTGTACAGGGTTTCCGAGGGTGTAAATCCTTACGGGAGTAGAAAGCCTCATCTTTCTCCCGCGGAGCGGCTGGTAGTTTCGAACCGCTGACCTTAAGGTTCGCAGCCCGATTCGTAACCACTACGCTACCAGAGCTCCTAGGACAGCCTATATAGGGTACCTTTAGTGGTGAAACTAACAAGATGGAACTTTTGAGTCTCAAAATCACAAAGTTTTCCTAACATTAACCAAATATGCTCCACAATTTAAGCCAATAACTACTTGATAAATTACCATCACCATTTGTCACAATACATTTTGCTCTTCGGTAACTTCTAAACGAGGGCTGACACCATTAACTCACTGTTGCACTTTTCCAAGTTAGTTAACGCAAAAATTCTTGAAAGCTAACTAATCCACAAATATAGAATTGTTCAAAGGATATCTGAATTTAATCTAATTTGATTTTTAAATTCCAAAGAGTACAAGATCTGTCCATTCAAATCCTACCATCTCAGAAAGCCTCTCAATTTATCATTCAAACCACCTCTTACTTTTTTACTTAAGAAAAAAAAAAAAAACTCTAATCATTTATAACTTGAATTCACAAATTTCGTCCTATGAACTTTCAACACAACAATCAATGCTAGGTAATTTCAGTGCACAGTTACTAAGTAGCAACAATTTTAACAACACACTACTGTAAGGCCTTCACTATTATCGCGCCAATTCTCCCAACAATCCTAAGAGGCAGGTGCTGTCATTTGACAAGAAAATTGAGAGGTTAAGTATCTTGCCCAAGGTCACAAACCGGTGGGGCAGGATTGGAACCAAAAGCAGGCAGCCCGACTTCACAGCCCGTGCTCTCAACATTCAATTTACCCTTGTCAGCCGCTTATCAGGAAATGGCCCATGTTAAGCTTTAGGAACTGTTCTACATCCAAGTTCATGACGTCCATGACTTTGACAAGTTGACTTTCCAAGCACACAAATTGGACTTCTCTGAATTCAGGGCAAACAAATTCTGAATCCTCCCAGAAATGGGCAGACGGCAAAAACAAACCAAAAAACACCTATGCATCGCTGTGTCCCAGGTTACCCGAATTCTTGAATTATAAATCTGGGAAATACAATAAAGGACCCCAAACTATTCGACAAAAGAAACCTAGAAAAGGCTGGGTTTGTAATAAAAGCTAGAGCTCTGCTGGCAAGCTGTTCACGCGATCTCTCCTCTAACGACATAAACAAGGGAGGAGACTGCATTCTCCGCGCAGCACAATGAAGCCTTGGCCCGAGCCAGAGAAAGAACGCAGCACAACTGGGGACGGCTACTAGGGGTGCGGGGGAGGGAGGGGAGGTCGAAGGCGCCCGCCCGCCCCGACAGGCCCCCGAGGCGCGGGCTAGTGCGAGGAGGGAGCTGCCCCGCCACGGCCCGCACTCAGCTGACCTCCGCCATGTTGGCCGCACTCCCCGGGACCCTTCACAACAAAGGCCGGCACGAGGGCGCGGGGAGTGCCCGGTGCCTTTCCTGGGCCGGGCCCGCCTACTGGGCGCGCAGGGGCCAGGCCTCGCGGAGGCGCTTCCCTTCCCCTCCCTCGGTCCGACCTCGCGGGGCCCGACCCCCACCGCGGACCCGGCCGGACCCAGGGTGCCGCGGAAG